GAGATATCTTTCATTATGTGCAAGGGGACTCACAGATGCTCTGTACCACTCAGGATTATCATCTTAGGGTACAAGGCACAATTCTGCTGGGCACTGATATCCCAATTCCTCAAAGCATTCAAGCATGTGTTTAAAGTTGTGTGGCAGTTGCAATGGAAATGGAGAGCAATTTGCACTGCACAAGAGACAGTACCTCTCCAAATCGGGCCCTGTAGCACTACATTGTAATAAACTGTAATATTTCACAGCGTTAGTGCAAGGTTCTGCTCCATTCTTAAATTTCAGGAGAAATTATAAAGCCACTGAATGGTTTTTACCAACACTGGTTTCCAGTGGTCTAGAAAAATAAAACAATTCTAGGGAAGACAAGAGTATTATCATCATTGTTGTTTTAATAACAAGAGACCATTCAAACCAATGCTAGAAAACATATTGTGCCTTTCCACCTGCAAAAAGTATAATCAGTATTGTCCATTAAGTTTATATTTCTCTGAAGTCAAAACAGCACTGAAATACAGGCCACAATGGAATGAATGTGCATTTCTCCAGCTGCTGGAAAATTATATTCTGGCTAAAATAACTGTAAGCTACTTTTTAAGAATTGAATTTCCTCTAGAAGCACATGAAAGGGACAGTAAAAGGCAAAACAAAACCGACATACTAGCTTCCACCTTTTTAGAATACGTTAATATAATTTTAATAGCTAAGGTGTGAAAAAAAGTGAAAACAACACTACAATTTTGTAGCTTCAGTGATTATTAGTACAGGTGAGCAATGGTAGCATATCAAAATTCCAGGAAGGATCTGTAAGCATAGTTCAGAAAGTCTTAATTCAGTCATAATATTTGTAAAAATAATTTCATATTTTATTTAAAAATTCAGATTGTGTTTATAATGTAACATTTAAAAAAAACAATTTTAAGTAAATTAATATCATCAAGAAAATATATCACTGTGGTGCTGACTTAAGGGTGATTGGAACAAAAGAAATATAATACAGTTGTTCTGAAGAGTATAAAAGATAATCCTGGACTGACCATGGTTTTCTCACAATATTTGTGACCAAGAATGCACTTGAGTTGGGGCATTTAAAAAAAAATTACCTCCCCTTTTTCCCTCAGCCGGAACACCCTTTTTCTTTAAACCCCATGGATTAATTTTTGATGAAAACTGTAGTTGTTCTTATATTAAAAACTGACTGAAACGGAATGTTGAAAACATTGCATTTCATTTTATCTGCGATCAACTGCATCTCATCAAAATATTAGCAATAAAAGCAAGCTTATCATATTTAGGATGATGTGCTAAAAATGTTTCTATGATACAGATGCCATAATTGTTTATTTTGCTTGATGATAACAAGGCAGCTATAGGATAGGCTGGTATAATTTCTACCTGTTCTGTACATTATTCCCTTAGAAAGAGATTTCTCTGATTCATCTTTCTTCTTGGTGTCATTCTCATACATGACGCAGTCATCCTTCCTACCTTTCTCAGGACTTGAAGATTCAGTAAATTTTGATCCATTTCAAATTAAATAAATTGACTATAGAGTTCAGTATATGAATCTTCTACGTCTAGTTTTCTTTCTTGAAATAGCTTGCACTTGACAATGAAAATAGCTTTCTAAAGAGTAGGATTTGATTGCATACATTTTAGATTATTATGGAATCCAACATAATGACACTGACCCAGCTTTCCGTTTTCCTTACTTGTGAATTATTTCTTGAGCTGTTACATCAAATCTGATTGTGTATCTGAAACATGTTAAAATTTAGCTTGTAGCATCTGTGTAAAAAAAAAAAATTCTTGTCCCCTGGAATTGGTCAGACCACTCCATAATTAATTTACACTGTGTTAGACATCCAGAGTATGTTGTAAACACAATGTTTTGTGATGAAAGTGGAACTCGCCTACAAAGCTAGTATTGATGCAGAACTAGTCATTAGATTTATAATGCAGCAAAAGGTCTGTGCTGCATACAGTTATAGGTACGTGAAGCAACACACAGTGTCCACATGCATTATTCATACCATCTCAAGTGTTTTTAATTGTAATACAACTGGAAACTAAATTTTTAAAATATTCTTTTGTTTATATTTTTTGTTTTACACTAATTTGTATGTTTTGCAGCATATAGTAACTTGAATACTATAGAAAAATGCCAAACTGTATGTTTTAAATATACCCTCTGTCCTCCGTCACAACTAAAATATTGTGTCCCAAAAGCTGATTCAGTATCCATACCACAATGCATAATACACAGAAACCGGGATCCATTTTTAAAGATTGTATTGGAATGGCATTCCCATGGTCTATTTTCTTATGTATGTAAGACTATAACTATAAGAGTCCCTTACAACTAGCTACTTACTTTACATAATATAGACACCAGAGCATGAGTTCATGGAGAATATCCTATGTTGATGGGGAAAATATATTTATTTACACTTCCACTTCCTTAATTGGATAAAAACTCTCACAGGAGTGGGTGACCTAAAATAATTTCACATGTAAAAGGTTACATCACCTAATGCCTCTAGATGTGCTGTCATCTACATTTTCCTCTTTCATGCTTTAGAAATATGATATTGAAATAATAGTGTGCATCTTCCCCAACAGTTTTTTTTTCAGTTTTTTAAAGATGTACTTCTAGCTATATAGTTCTCTGGACATGATTTTAATTCAATTATCTTCCCAAAGTACTGGTGCTTCTGTTGTGCAGTCTAAAATAACTATTAAGACTTTGGAACATGGTGTATTTCATGCGATATACAATGTTTTCATTGTATTAAGCATCAAAATGCATTACAGAGGTTACCTTAGTTTTCCTTAGATTCTTTTGATTAACTTTACTGTGTATGCATTTGGCTAATCATGAAGTAAATTTCACTTAATGTCTAGCCAAATGCATACACAGTAAGATATCATGAAGTAAATTTTACTTCATGTCATTGTAAATCAATGGATTTTAAACTTTTGATAACAATACCCCCCACATGTATAATGACCGATATCTCGCCTTATATAATGATGAATATTTTAAATTTGCTCTTCAAATGAGTTAAAAGGATAACATACAATAACACCATTTAGAAGAGGAAATCAATACAGATATCTGAGAAAAATTTCTGCTCAGCATTAACGGCTCTATGAAAAATTCAACATGTAAATTTTTTAAAATCATCTTGAGTAGACAACCATAGAGAACAAGACATATCATGGAATTTACATTTATTTGGATGGGTCTGAAAAAAATTGTTTTATACTCAAAAGCTGTTACAAAAAATCTTCTTAAATTATGTATTTTGTTTGAAATTCAGATTGACTATTTCATCTAGTGAAACTGACTTTTTATGTGCTCTGTTGTTGGTAACTAAAGAAGACTATTTTCCATGTATCTTACAGTTGATGTGAGGTTTCATTAAAAATGGAAAACGAGGATTTATTTTAACTTTGTTGCAAAATCTTCTGCCTGTTCTGCTTCAGCATTCTTAGAGGTGAGTGCAACAGCAACTGTATTCTAATAAACCTATTTAGTTTGATTGTCATCTTGAATTAAGAAATAAAAAAGTATATGAAGTTAACCATTGGCTTGGAATCAAATACAGATTTGCTTGTGGTTGGTCTATATGGGGGGGGGGGGGGGAAATCACTCTTGTACATAAACACAGCAAGTCATTACTCCTCCTCTTCAAAACAAAACAAAAAAAATCCAGTTTGGCTTTGGTATCAGAGCTAGACTTCCATTAACACTAGTCTACAGAAAGCTCCTTTGGCATGTTGTTCTTCTATTTATATTGCTGGTGCTACATATCACACATACGGGAGCATCTGATAAATTTTAAATAGTTGCGGGATAGTCAGTAGCCTTTTGAGTTAGCCTGTGACATGCCTTTTTGGAAAACATGTGATGTCAGAGGAAGGTGGGACTATCGTTTGAAGCTGGTAGCTAGGGAGACTTAAGCTGGCAAAATAATGTTTAACTACAAAGGTAGTTAAAAAAAAGGAACAAGCACAGAAACTTACATAAGAATTTTATTTATAATCTTTGTGCACACATGGTGGATGATGGTGATGCTACCAGTGACATAAATAAACTCAAGCAAAAGATGTAAGCAAGTGGATATATGGAAAGGGTTCTTTGGGCAGTGCTGCAAATTTGGACATCGACCAAGAGAATTATTTGTGTCCCTTGCAATTTCGATGAAAAGCACAAAAGGGGATAATTAGACCAGGACGCTTCGCATCGCTCTTTCCATCTTGCGCACATGCATGCCCACCAAATGTGAAATGTTCGCCTTTTCCCCTCAAATGTGATGGTTGTTGAACTTATTTTTAGTGTCATTTGATAAGCCTCCCTGCTCGCAGAGAGACATCCCACTGACCCAGCCACTGGTCATTGTCTATACCAGTTCCCATCAAAGCAGGCGCGCTTTGTCAGGTTTCGACTCGAATATCCATTTTGCATCTGAAGTACAGTATCGAAAGTGACTGGATCATTTGAGCCTTTTTCTTCAGCTGCTGCCTCCTTCCACCCCCACAGTGTTTCCGCTCACGCTAACATAATTTGGCATCGTCGACGTGACACGAAGCTGGGCATCCATTGTCAATGGTTTGTGATGGTCGGCGCTCCTGTAAATTTAATTTATAAACTGATGAAAGGAGGTCTTTTTCCACTGCTGAATCTTAGCCAAGGCACAGTGCCCCCTCGAAAACCGAGTAATGCGCATACAGTAATAGGTCATTCAATGTCAAAAGGCATAAAAAAGATGAGCAAAATCTTCACAGGCTGCTGCTTGCTGTTGCTTTTAATTATATTAATTAAACTTTGAAATTCTCATGCAAAGAGAGTTGCTGGCTTGTGACGCTGAAGAGCCCTTGGAGATTCGAGGGGGGAAAAACCCCTGAGATACCAGCTTTGTGGCTACTGCTTTTTTTAATCATAAAAAAAAAATACATAAGCCCAGAACTGCTAGGTATGTTTATAGATGATGATGTTTTATGCGCTACTGAACTCTGAACGCTGAAAAGGGGGAAAAACCACCCGCCACAGTGTCAAGGTCTTGACGCATCAGTCCCTCAAACTCTGCTCAAGATCTCTGGTTACAGGCTGTCTTCCTGTAGAATAACGCTCTATTAATTTTCGTCCTGTCCTGGGTGCATAATGAAAGAAAGGTGTCTTCAAAAACGAAAGGGCAAAGTCTTGCTTGCTACCAATACCTTGAGGCACCCTGTCTACATTTTGTCATGCGTGTGCACTTTTCAGTGCTAGAATGACAAGATTTCCAGTCAGAAGGTTCCCGTAAGGCACAATGCGATGAGGGACTCAGAAGGATTTTGTGATCTGACATAGCTGTAAGGCAATGAACTTTTGCATTTGCTTAGCCTAGTGGGAATTTTTACCCTCTGCCTATGGCAAATAACAAGTGCCATCTTTGCATCGGAGACTTTGCGTCTCTACGAAAAGCCCACTGTATCCTGAGAATCTGCAGTCCTTTTAAAAACAAAACAAAGCAAAATTATCTTTGGTCGTTGTTTTATCTGCCCTCTGCACATGCGTACTGGATTTTCTATCAAAGCCTAAGCATGCAGGTCAATGCTTCTCTTTTTGTCACTGTTGCAAATCATGGAGTATTGTAGTATTGTAGGAGAACACAAGAGTCTGGTGTAGTAATGCTGGCATGTGGAAGAATGGAATGGAAAACTTTTGAGCCAACAGGCTCAAGCCGATCCAAGAAATTCCGGAACATGGTCGGTTGTCTGTGGTGGGTTAGAGTGGCAGTGTGGAAGTTTTTCATCCTCATATCCTCTTAGCCTCCTTTACTGAGTCTGAACACGGGTAAAGTTAACACATCGGCCCTGAAAGAAAAAACAGACGGTAATTTTTATTGGTGGGTGAAGCAATAAATACAAAGTAAAGATCGTTGAATATTAGTGCTAACATATCACATACAAACAATTACTTAAATGTATATGCTTCTGGAAATAATATGCATAAACAAATATGTTAAAATTTAATAATGGAAATCATCCAGAGCTCTCCATTACATTTGGTGTATAAATTTATTATACACTTTCCTTATTAATAGCAGTAAGAAGATAAGTGCCATGTTTTGGAACGTCCAGGGTCATTGTTAAAGAAAATCTGAACAAGTCTTCAAGTTCTGAATAATTGCTAAATACCCAAACTCAACTTGGTTGTTCTGCTTTAAACACGATCTGATTAGATGATGTTGGAGATTTTCCCAGTGACTGACAACATATTTCCTATTACACTTGCTCCAAATAAACATGAATGCAAGTAACACATTGCTGTTGTATGGCTCATGTGGGTCTGGTGATTCTATTAAAAAATTACCAGAACTGTACATCTTCACATAACCTTTTGCAATTTGCACCAAATTGAAACTCTTCTCCATATTGCCAGGTTACTCTGAATGTGTCCAAATCATTCATGGTGTAGCTCTACTGACTTTAGGGGCACTGAAATCAGGGATGAATTTGGTCCAAAAGTCATTAATCCTGTTGGGAGGTGAGCACTGAGAAGAGACTAGTTATTTCTATAAGCTTAAAATGAAAAACAATTTTTACTTAAAATCATGGTCAGTGTGTACTGATGGCCATTCATCAACTGTGTTGTACTGCTCCGGGAAGGAGTTCCCTTTAAACAGGTCTCACTCCACTAGTGAAAAAGATTTTTTTCCCCCTTGCCTCCTGATCCTGTTGGGTATGCTGTTTAATATGAAATCATGGTTTGGTTTCTCAATGAGAAGTCAAGGCAGTATGTGGCTCTCTAGCAGGCACAGTTCTTATGAATCTGCCTGAGAGCGTCCCCTTTGCTATAAAACACCAAGGGTGTGTCTAGACTACAGAGTTTTGTCGACAAAAGTGGACTTTTGTCGACAAAACTATACCTGCTTCCACACTACCGCTGAGTTCTGTCGACATAACGTCGACAGAACTCAGCAGTTTTGTCGACGTATGTAAACCTCATTTTACGAGGAATAACACCTTCTGTCGACAGAGTTTCTGTCGACAGAAGGTGTTATTGAATGGAAACTGTCCTTTGCGTCCAGACTACCATGCTGACAAAAGCAGCTTGCTTTGTCGACAGAACTCAATGTAGTCTGGATGCGCTTTGTCGACAGAAGACTGTAGTCTAGACGTACCCCAAGACAGCATACCCATTTTCATTTTAGAGTTCTGAGCAACTTCTTCCCCTCACCTCTCTTACAGATTCACCACAACTATATTTTTAATCATGACCTAATATAAAAGGATATTTGTATACTTAGAGGGAGCTTTGCAAAAGTGTCCATGTAATTAGGAATACAAGTCTCTCTGAGTTTCACTGACTTGTGCTCCTAAATCCCTTAAAGACTTTCAAAAATCATTTTAGATAATAGATGATTTTTGGTGGGTAGAAAAGAGAAGAAATCAGGGACTTGTCTTCACAGTCTGAATCATTCAGCACATTTTAGTGTGATCTAAATTCCTACAATAATCATTAATGCTGTATTTGAGTCAATTTAAGAGAGACATTTAAAACTAAATAACAACAACAACAAATGGCCTGGTAGCACTTTAAAGACTAACAAAACATGTAGATGGTATCATGAACTTTTGTGGGTACAACCTACTTAGGTAAAATGAGCAAGTTTTGAATAAACATATGACACAAACAAACATATATTCTGATCCTTTTTAAAAATAACGTGCTGGCACTACAATTTAATAGAACAATATACATTGGATCATCAAAAAAAAAAATCAGGAGAGAGATAGTGAATGAGTGTTAAAATATTCCACTGAAGGTAGAAGATAAAAGACACCATACATTTTCACATCCCATGCCACAATTTTAACAAAATTAAATATAACAAAATGAGTGTTGTAGTAAAAAGGCAAAGCATTTCTTGAGCAGAAAGCCCAAAATCTCTCTGCAAATTCCCCTAACAAAGCTACCACTGAAGAAACAATAAAAGCAAGGAAATTCATATCAAATTGTGGTATCATATGGGAAAAATATAGATCCAATAATACATTTGTACAAATTGGTTCTATGGCAAGATCCAGTGTACCTTAGGTGAAGAGAAGCATGTCGGAATTTACTGTTCTCCGTGAAATTCTTGCTTTTTATTGTTTTATAGCACAGCCTTATAGTTGTTTAGACATAGTTACTGATTCATGAACTGATACGAATTCTGAATAAATACTTATATTATTTTTCATTTCTTATTAATATTTGGTATGCAGATTTAAATGTAACCAGGGAAGGACAATTCTTGGCCAGTCTTTCTAATATGTTTTAGTGCACTAACATTTCACTTAAGGACTGAAATAACTGTAAATGTATATATGCTCTTCCAGGTCTTCATGCACAAAGCCAGTGAGACCTTGTGAAGACTTTGCTTAGCAATAAAAAACCTGGTCTTCATTAGCTTTAACACGTCTAAATATAAAATAATTCCTTTGGTATAAGGAAAGACAAACTATGCAATCATAAAAGAGACTTCAAAGTTTGGGCCAAATTCAGCAAATCTGGTAAACTATGTTCTCCTGCACCAGCTAAAATCAGAGCATACTATGAAGAGTAATTTCTGCAGGGCGCAACTTGTGTTTCCATTCTTGTTCTTACTGGGATCCCACCAGAAAGCTTAGATTTAACTCTTATTGTGGTTCCATTTCCTTTGTGCCAGCAATAACCTCAGAGAGAATCTGCCATGATGATGAAATCCCTGGCACTTTCTTCTTTTTGGTTAGCACTGCCCACCTCTGTGACTAAACTCCTAATCCCCCAGACCTCACCCTTCCCCAGGTAAGTGGAGTTGCAATCTGATCTGCTTTTGGTCATCCATTGCCACTTTTTTACAGGAAACTGGAGGTGTACTTCACTCCTTAGTTGATTTAAAAATATTTCTGACTATTAAGAAAGCAAAACTGTTGAAAAAGAGCTAATCTGATCTTTTCATCAGCAATTAAAAACATGGAAATGCCTTAATTTCTTACTGTGCGCTAGATAGCAAGAACAAAATTAATAACTAATGTGATTTGCACCCGTTATTGGATAAATTACTTGGACATAGATGCTTACAATAGGAACAATGTTGCAACTGGAAACACAACAATTACAACTTTCACTAAAACAGTCCAAAGAATACTGCTTTAACAGTCTCTACGAGTAACTTTTTTCTCCTAGAATACTACTAATGTATTAATTTATCATTATAAATTTAGGTCACATTTAATTTGGGTTTATTTTCATGCCACTTTAAGATAAAACACCGGTTTCATACTTTTTTTATTTTAATGAAATTAAGATACAAATTATACATGTGTTTTTGATTTTTAACACCACAATGCGTGCAGACTTCTTGCCAACTGCCTTTCAGAAATAGTTGCTATGATTTTTCACCTAAAACAATCCTACTTTTTAATTTAGTGGTTACTTTCAGGATGAGAAAACAGGGAATTTTGGATCCATGTGGTTCAACCAGCACATTTTCCCCAAAGTTATTTTCAAATATTTTCAAACAAAGAAAATGAGATAGGCTCACAGTGTCACAGACTTACTGTGAAAGAATGTCTGTGGAGAGAAAGAAAGTGTTATAGGAAGACCTTATAACACATATTCCCCTCTCTGTCATGTAGCACAGAAGGATACATTTTGTAACAATTAGAATGACATCGGACCGAAATCTACATGGGAGTAACAAGAGACTAAGCATTGTTTCTGGCAGGTCAGTGCTAAACCCACCACACACAAACATGCAAAGGGACTTTGCAGACTGCAGAAAGGACAGATAAGTCTAGCTACAGGAAAGGGGTTCCAAAGTCCTCTTAAGAGTATCGAGATCCACCTTAGCTACTCAGGCTCAAGTTTCTCCATTGACTCATCCTAGAGGCTGTGGAATACTGGATACAATTGCTTTCAGAACCAACCAACCCAGCTCCTGAGCTAGTCAACAGTGGTACATATTAAGTGCTCATGTGCTGTCCTTCTGGGGCTGAAAACTCTGGCCAATGTTTTCTCACAAAAGGTACTGAAAGTTGTGGATTTTAATGCTTAACGTTTGGAACTAGCCTCTGCCTACACAACCAGCTATCCTGGGACTTAAGGCATGAGATGAATCTCAGTCTTGATCGACAAACCCACATCTGGTAGTACGTTTGACTATTAGTATACTGCCATGCTAGCTGGTATATTTTACGTATCATCAGGTATTTGTACCCAGAGTTGTAACTTTCACTGTTAATTTGCCTGTAAGTTTGTTCTTGTCTTATCAACAAAGTGGTGGATGAGAAATTTTAAATAAAAAAACCTAAATGTAATTAATAAGCCATCTTTTGTGAGCAGTATGATGCTCATATGAGACAGCTGAAATGAGGATGCTGGAAAACACAGTGAAAGTGCTAATTAGTTTGAAGGTCAGGAATGTTGTCCTACCATTGATGTAACTGCAAGTACTCCATGCCAGCATTGTACAGAACCAGTTCAATGTTCAGGTAATAGAATGCGACAAGGAGTTCATCTTTATAATGCCCATACACAATAAGGGCACATTAAAAGGTACCGTATGAAACCAGTATAAGTGGTCTCTTGTAATGAAACAGTTTAACATGTAGTGTTTTACTATATATCCATAATAAATTACTGCTATTTGTCCATAAAAATGAGAATGCTAGCAAATCTTTTCTTTAAATCTGGTTTGCAAGTTTAGTACATGGCCCCACATCAAAAATTATTGTCCATCCCAGCCCTGAGGCTTGGCAGCCTGTAGTAACTTCCAGGATATAATAGCCATCTTATTAATCTTAAGAATGCCTTAGGGTAACCCATCAGATAGAAAAGTATAATT